GTGTGTATATATACAAAATGTACAAGTAACTGGATGTCTCACTAGAGCACCAGCCTCTCAGAACAAAACAATGGTATAGAAATGAAGTAAAAAGTAAGTCTTTCCAGTCTTTCAAACGATCACCAATGCTGATTTGATCAAAGTAAGTCCTTAATTCAACGAGTTCACGAGAAAATATTTGTGAAAAGGGCTACAGTGGCCACAACTTAAGCTAACATTAATCTATGGTTTCTGTGTGCGCATCAAAGTGCAGCAAAGTTTTTGCCACTCACAGGCTCAGATTGTTATTTGTCTGAAAACAAAGGGTCCATAAATATAGACCTTTTGTTTAAACCGTGAACAGCCATGATCTTGCTATCGCTGTCCACCAGACTCCAGAGACAAAAATGGAAATTTTACCTTGCATATCATTGTAACATCATAACTTAATTCAAAGTGGACAAAAACAAAATTCACCCAAACTGTCTTTAATAGTCTTTCCACTGTTCCAACAATCACCAACTCTGCTGTGGTTGAAATAAATCCTTCGTTTACCGACGCAGATGATAAAAAAGTGTAGTTTCAGTTACTTTCAGCTGCACACGGAGCAGACCGGCTATGTAAACAAACCACAGAGAGGCTGCGATAGCAACACAGGAAAACTGACCGGGACGTCATTCCCTGCTACCTTTACATAGCTAATAGTTGTTTGCTGTTATATTAATGTACTATATATTCACTCGTTTTGGGCTATTATTTGTTTTCTGGGTTTTGTTTCCTGATTATAAACCTTGTTAGTACAGACAATCTTGGATGAGTTGGATTCAGTGCATTAGCAGGAAGTGTCTTTACCCTCTTGTAACAGAATTTTCACCTTTTCTTTTATAATGTGAAAGAAAAGTGAAATCAGCTTTAACTTTAGTTAGTAGAATTCCCCTTTAATAAAATAACATGAATTAATGAAACATTAAGAAGGATTAGCCATCTATGTCAAGCAGCTTTCACATCCTTTCAAGTTTATTTTCATAGCATAACTAACATGAGTTGTTGCCAGTGACTGCAAGGAAAGCAAACTGTTCCAAGAGCTGGAGTTAAAAGGAGTTCGGTCTAGAC